CGACAGCAGCCGCCGTTGGCCCGCACGCCGTGAGCTGGCCGCGCCCCGCCGCCGGCTCCTCTCGGAGGGGCGATCCTGGCTGACGCCCTCGGAGCCCCGGCGCAGCGCGGGCAGGTGGCAGGAGTGCGCAGGTGCCGCGGGCTTCGTTCCTCGGCTTGGAGCAGCCCGCTCAACTCTGACTCAGCTCTGACTCGCCAGCCCCTGGCCGGCTCCCTGGGCCCGCGGGGGTTGGGGGAGGCCGAGGTCTGGGGCTCTTCTTTGGCGGTGAGGGCAGGTCCGGAGGGGCCGCCCCACACGCCCCTTGAGGCTGGAAAGGCCCAGAGAAGCGGTCGGGTACTCTCCGCACACGCTCAGTCCGGTGGAATCCCGGCGGGGGGCAGTTGGTGGTGCTGGGAGGCTGTGTGGCTCCTCTCTCTGGGCAGACCCCAGGTGCGGCCGAAGCCCTTCCTGCCCTAGGCAGCGGCTCAAGGGGACGATAGTCTCCCGGGCCGGGCCTTGTCATTAAGGGCAGCGGTGGGTGCCTTTCAGGGCCGTCTGGGACACTATGTCACGATGGACGAGGGTGGCACGCCCCTGCTCCCCGACAGCCTTGTCTACCAGATCTTCCTGAGCCTGGGCCCCGCGGACGTGCTGGCCGCCGGCCTGGTGTGCCGCCAATGGCAGGCTGTGTCCCGGGATGAGTTCCTTTGGAGAGAGCAGTTCTACAGATACTACCAGGTGGCCCGGGACGTGCCCCGACACCCAGGTCAGTGCACGGCCACACCAGGGCAGGCTGGCTGGGTGGGAGGCAGGGACTCACCCTGGGGTCCAGCCAGGAGGACACGGCCTGGGCTCGGAGTGCAGGGCCTGGGGGGAGAGGGGTGGACAGGGCCATGCAGGCTGGAGGTGAAGATGAGGCCTAGGTGGAAAGCAGGAGCGGTCTGCACGTCCCACAGCTGCCACATCCTGGTACGAGGAGTTCCGGCGGCTCTACGACACTGTGCCCTGCGTGGAGGTACAGACTCTGAAGGAGCACACAGACCAGGTCCTGCACCTCAGCTTCTCCCACTCAGGCTGCCAGTTCGCCTCCTGCTCCAAGGACTGCACGGTGAAGGTGAGGGCAGCGACGGAGACCCAGGTGGGACCCCGCCAGGCAGGAGGAGGACCACAGAGGAGAGGCTCCCACCAGGGAGATCCTGCTCCTGAGGAGCCCCCAGCCCGGCATATAGATGCAACTTCAGGGTGAGGGCGCTGATGATGGCTGGAAGAAGTTCTCACCCCAGTGGAGTTTTCTGGGTCCCGGCTTCAGCAGAGACGCTCAGGAGAGGGGCCAGAGCTCCACACGTGGACCCTGGGGTGCCCCATGCAGGGCGAGAGCCCCCTGACCTGACCACATGGGTGACCCTGCCCCTGCACAGATCTGGAACAACGACCTGGTGGTCTCTCTGCTGCACAGTGCCGACATGCGGCCCTACAATTGGAGCTACACCCAGTTCTCCCAGTTCAACATGGATGACTCGCTACTGCTGGTGTCGGGCGTGTTCTTGGGGCCCCACAACTCCTCGGCAGGCGAGATTGCTGTCATCAGCCTGGGTGAGGGCCGCCCTGTCCCCGCCGCCCGCGACCCTGCCAGCACCTGCCCACCCTGACCCCTTCCCTCCCCCAGACACCTTTGCCCTGCTGTCCCGGGTGCGGAACAAGCCTTACGATGTGTTTGGCTGCTGGCTCACCGAGACCAGCCTCATCTCGGGGAACCTGCACCGGATCGGGGACATCACCTCGTGCTCAGTGCTCTGGCTCAACAACGCCTTCCAGGTGGGGGTGGGGGTTGAGGGGAGGCAGGGGGGCTACTTGTGCCCCCGCACTATGCCTACCACCCCGCCCTCCCCAGGATGTGGAGTCGGAGAATGTGAACGTGGTGAAGCGGCTTTTCAAGATCCAGAACCTCAACGCCAGCACCATCCGCACTGTCATGGTGGCCGACTGCAGCCGCTTCGACAGCCCCGACCTGCTCCTGGATGTGGGTGGCCCAGCCGCACCTTCCTGCCAGGTCTTTGACCTTGGCAGCGACGGTGATGATGAGGCCCCGGCCCCGGCACGGGCCAAAGAGGGTCTGCGGCGCTTCCTGGACGACATCCTGGACGGGCGGGTGCAGCCCCCGCTGTCCGAGAACGCGCTGGAGACCAGGGTGGCTGAGCTGCTGGCCCAGGGCCGCACCAGGCCCCCTGAGCCCGTGGCCGGCGGCGGGAGGAAGTACCTCGTCTTCACCACGGGCTGTCTCACCTACTCGCCACACCAGATCGGTAATAGGAGTGGGTGGGCGCACAGGTGGGGCCAGGCCTGGGGGACGAGCCCGTTGCTGCCTCAGACGTGAGCCTAGCCAGTCTCCCAGGCTCAGGAGTTCTCGGGCTGCAGACCCGTGCATGGAGCACACGTTCCCGTGGGGAGAGGGGGTGTTTATTGTAAACGAACCGGTCGGGGGGGCGCCGGACTCGGAGGCACAGGCAGCCGGGGGCGCAGCGACTGGTGCCCTCGTCCGGGTCTGGGGTCACGGGTCAGGCAGCCCCGCGGCGCCCTCATCGCCCTCGCCCTCTCAGGCATCAAGCAGATCCTGCCACACCAGATGACGACAGCGGGGCCGGTGCTGGGGGAGGAGCGGGGCGCAGACGAGTTCTTCGACTCGCTGGACCACGTCATCGACGTGCACGGACATGTCATTGGGATGGGCCTGTCGCCCGACCACAGGTGGGCCCCGGGCGGAGGGCGGAGCGCGGGGGGCGGGGGACCGGCGGCCGTTCCAGCAGTGTCCCCCGGCCAGGTACCTGTACGTGAACAGCCGCTCCTGGCCCAGTGGCGCGGTGGTGGCCGACCCCATGCAGCCGCCCCCCATTGCTGAGGAGATTGACCTGCACGTGTTCGACCTCAAGACCATGCGGGAGGTGAAGCGGGCCCTGCGCGCCCACCGGGCCTACACGCCCAACGACGAGTGTTTCTTCATCTTCCTGGATGTCAGCCGGGACTTCGTGGCCAGGTAGGCGGGGCGGGGGGCGTGGGCGGGTGGGCAGGCAGGGTGTGGGTGAGCAGGAGCGGAGAAAGGGAGTCTCGCCTGGCTGCCGTCCGCAGTGGGGCCGAGGACCGGCACGGCTACATCTGGGACCGCCACTACAACATCTGTCTGGCCAAGCTGCGCCACGAGGACGTGGTCAACTCGGTGGCCTTCAGCCCCCGGGAGCAGGAGCTCCTGCTGACGGCCAGCGACGATGCCACCATCAAGGCCTGGCGCTCACCCCACACTGTGCGCGCCCTCCAGGCCCCACGCCCGCGCCCGCGCTCCTTTTTCTCCTGGTTTGCCAGCCAGAGGCGCTGACGGGCGCTTTTGGCGGCAAGAGGGAGCCACCCTGGTGGGGCAGCAGCAGCCCTGGGTGTCCTCGAGCTGCTCAGACCCCACGGGGGACGTCACAGGCCCTTTTCCTCAGCCGAGCCACTGCCCAGGCACATTGGGGCAGAGCTCAGAGCAGTGACGCTGCCTGAGGGAGGTCCAGCAGGCTTGGCAGGGGCTGTGGGAACAGGACACCCCACCTCACCGCTGTGACACTCAGCACCTGGGGGCTGCTTGCCCCACCCACACATCTGCCTCCTGCTGGCCCCGAGGTGCACAGAATGGGGCCACTTCTCCAAGGGGACTGGAGGACACACTAAGCTGAGGCCCGTGGTCTGGCTCGCACACGTAGCACCCTCTGGCTGACAAGCCCCCTGCTGGTCCGCAGGGCCGGCCTGCCGGGCAGCAGCACTTTACCGGATCCGACTGTCCTGGGCCCAGGCCCCTCCTCTGACCACCTGGCCTGACCGGCAGCTGGGGGAAGAGCAAGTCAGTCTGCCACAGGCCCAGGCTTACCCAGCACACTGGAGCGTACCGCATGTCCACTTGCACACTTGTCACCTGTCCTCTGAATAAACAGCTGGCAACCGCAACCCACCCAGTCTCTGTGCTGTGTCTGTAGGGTTGGGGAGAGGCCCGTCTTCACGGTCCCCACTTGATACAGGTGAGGGAGACCCAGGGCTACAGTGGAGGTGCTGGGCCCGGCAGGCTGGTGACAGTCTGTCCCCGACCGCTGCACTGCAGCGCCTCCCTGGCCTTCTGTGAGCAGATCAGGCACGGGGCAGCGGGAGGGAGCCCACAAGCGCACAGAAGTATTCAGGTACATCAGCCTCGCTGTCCCAAGCACTTACTGTCCAAGAGAGGAGACAATTAGAAACTGCACAAAATGACACAGTAAAATTAGAACATCAAAACAAAAAAGATGGATTGGATAGAACTTAGGAAGGAGATGAATCTGAACATAACAAACGCAGCCAGAGAACCCGAAGGACAGACCCCAAGGCCCAGAATATTCCAGTGTCCACCCACCTGCAGGGCTCCCAGGAGAGGCAGGGACAGCAGCAGAGACCTGTGTATAGAGAAAGAAGAGTTGATTACCGAAAGATGGAAATCCTTGGAAGACATGTACAGCTGAAGCCTGGACAGGAAGAGAATTGGCACACACACAGATGCAGCATCATGGGACCAGGGACTGTCAAGAGATCTGAGATTCAGCAAGGCTCTGGCGCTGGGTGAGAGCCTGTTCCTCCACTGGGCAGAGGGCGGGGCAGCTAATTAAGAACTCGGAAAAGTGTGTACAAGGACTGGAGAACAACAGGATTTGAAGTGCCCCAGGATCGGCAGTGCTCACCCTCTTCTCCCTCTGGTATCCCGGCCTGAACAGGGTAAGGGGTAACCTGGAGGTGAATGCTGGGGCCCAGAGAGAGTTCCAGAGAAGCCTGGCTCAAGGACTAGGAAAGGGAACTCTTAACAGTGGGAAATGCCTGTTTTTTTCTCCTTGTTGCTTTGCACCCAGCCAGTCCCCAGATAACCCCCTGGTAACAGTGGAGCGGTGGCCATGGGAACTCACGTGAACCAGAACTCTGAAGGAAGAGAAGCTTCCTCACTGTTTGGTGGGGCTGTGGTTCCATAGGAGGACCAACCTCATTACTTTTCTCTCTGTGACCTCTTGTTGGGTGGGCCCAGAAGTGGGCCAACTGAGGAAGGGCATGACAGAGCGGGGTAAACAGATGCCCCAGTTTCCTGCTGAAGAACCAAAAAGGGTGCCAGAAACTAGCAGGGAGATAACTGAGCAAGAAGAGAATGAGAAACAACCCACAGAGTTAGACAGGAACTTCAACGCTCACCCTCACACTGCGGATGCACAGATCTGGTCCTAATTACCATACCAGTGACTTGAGAACTAACAGACCAGCACCTGAGTCCTGGATTGGTGACAGGAGGGTGTACATGTGGGACTGACCCGAAGAGCAGTGTGAAGGCTTTCAACACTGAACTGACATTGGAATGCAGGTCCACGGAGGCAGATTGGCTTGTGAACTGAACTAACAAGATCAAGTGTCTGGTAAAACTAAAATACCAACATTGTCCATAGGATTTAAAGAAGACCCAGAGCCTCATAAAGTAATATTCAAAACATCTAGGATATAATCCAAAATTACTAAGCACACAACCATGAAAATTTCAACTCACAAGGTAAAAGACAATTAACAGATACCAAGGATGAAAAGGCACAGATGTTGAATTGTCTGACAAAGACTTTAAGCAGCTGTTACAAAAATGCTTGAACAAGCAATCACAAACGTCTTGCAAGAGGTATAAGAATATGAAAATCTCAGCAAAAAACAAAAAAAGATATAAAAAGAACCAAATGGAAATGCTGGAACTGAAAAGCACAATAACTAAAATTTGAAGTCACTGGATGGACTCAGTAGCAGAATGGAGATGAGAGGACAAGAGTCGGTAAACCAAAAAACCCAAAAAAAGCCACAACTATATGGTGCACATAAGAAACTCATTTGAAATATAAACAGGTTAAAAGTAAAAGGATGGAAAAAGATATACCAAGAAAACACTAATCAAAAGAAAACTAGAGAGACAACTGGATTTCCACACACAAAGAATTAAGTTGCACCCCTACCTCACACCATATACAAAATTAACTCAAAATGGATCAACAACTACATATATAGGCTAAAGCCATAAAACTCAGAAGAAAACAGGGTTAATCTTCAAGACCTTGTTTTTGGCAATGGATTCTTAGATATGACACAAACAACAAGAAAAAACAGATAAATCGGATTTCATCAAAATTAAAAACTTATGTGAATCAAAGGAAAACACAACCTACAGAATGGCAGAAAATATTCAGAAAACGGATCTCTAACAAAGGTTTAATTAACATCCAGAATATATACAGGCTGCTAACCAAAAGATCAGCAGTTTGAACCCACCAGCCACTCCTTGGAAACCCTGTGGGGCAGTTCTACTCTGTCCTATAGGGTGACTAGGAGTTGGAATCAACTTGATGGCACACAATGACAACAATGGCAAAAAGACAAATGACCCAATTTAAAAATGGGCAAAGGACTTGAACAAGCATTCCTCTAAAAAAGATACATAAATTGCCAATAAATACATGAAAAGATGCTCAATATCATTAATCATTAGACAAATGCAAATCAAAACCACGATGCGATACCACTTCAGATCCACCAGGGTGGCGGCTATTATCAGAAAAACTAAAACAAGTGTTGGCGAGGATATGGAGAAATAGGAACCCTCATGCATTGCTGGTGGGACTGTAAAATGGTGCAGCTGTTGTGGAAAACAGTTTGGCAGTTCCCTGAAAAGGTAAACACAGAATTATCAATTGACCCAGAAGTTCCACTCCTAGGTACAGATGCAAAAGAATTGAAAGCAGGGACTCAAACACATACTTGTACACCTATGTTCACTACGGCATTATTCACAATAGCAAAATGGTGGAAACAACTGAAACGTCCATCAACAGATGAATGGATAAACAAAATGTGGTATATACATATGATGGAATATTATTCAGCGATAAAGAGAAATGAAATTCTGATATACGCTATAACATGGATGAATATTGAAAACATTATGCTGAGTGAAGTAAGTCAAGAGACACAGAGACGAACATTATTTGATTCCACTTCTGTGAACCACCTAGAATAGGCAAATGCACAGACAGAAGTAGATTTGTGGCTACCAGGGCTGGGGCATGGGAAGTTATTGTTTAATGAGCTTCTGTTTGGGGTGATGGAAAGAAATTGTGGTGATGGTTGCAAAAAAAAAAGGGGCGGGGGGAGTGGCTATATTAGTATCAGATAAAGCGAAGTACAATGAATATTACCAGAGATGAGGGACATTATATAATGATAAAAAGGTAAATTCACCAAGAATGCATAACACTCTCAAATGTATATGTACCTTACAACAGAGCCTCAGAATAAACAAAAAGTGACAGAACTCAGAGGAGAAATAGACAAATCCACAACTATAGCTGGAGAACTAAACACTGCTTTTTTAGTAATAGATAAAACTAGTAGACAGACAGACATATAAGGAAATGCTCACGATCATTAGCCATCAGAGAAATGCAGATCAAAACTACAATGAGATACCATCGCACTCCAACAAGGCTAGCATTAATCCAAAAAACACAAAATAATAAATGTTGGAGAGGTTGTGGAGAGACTGGAACACTTACACACTGCTGGTGGGAATGTAAAATGGTACAACCACTTTAGAAATCGATTTGGTACTAGAAATAGAAGTACCATACGATCCAGCAATCCCACACCTTGGAATATATCCTAGAGACATAAGAGCCGTCACACGAATAGATATATGCACACCCACGTTCATTGCAGCACTGTTTACAATAGCAAAAAGATGGAAACAACCTAGGTGCCCATCAATGGACGAATGGTAAATAAATTTTGGTTTATCCACACAATGGAATAGTACAGAACGATAAAGAACAATGATGAATCTGTGAAACAGCTTATAACATGGAGGAACCTGGAAGGCATTATGCTAACTGAAATTAGTCAGTCACAAAAGGACAAATATTGTATAAGACCACTATTATAAGAACTCAAGAAAAGGTTAAACACAGAAGAAAACATTCTTTGATGGTTACAAGGGTGGGTAGGGAGGGAGAGAGGTATTGACTAACTAGACAGTAGACAAGAATTATCTTAGGTGAAGGGAAGGACAACACACACTACAGGGGAAGTCAGCACAACTGGACTAAACCAAAAGCTAAAGAAGTTTCCTGAATATAACCAAACACTTTGAGGGACAGAGTAGCAGGGGCAGGGGTCTGGGGACCATGGTTTCAGGGGACATCTAGGTCAACTGGCATAATAAAGTTTAAGAAAATGTTCTGCATCCCACTTTGGTGAGTGGTGCCTGTAAAAGCTAGCAAGCGGCCATCTAAGATGCATCAATTGGTCCCAACCCACCTGGAGTAAAGGAGAATGAAGAACACCAAAGACACAAGGAAAGTATTAGCCCAAGAGACAGAAAGGGCCACATAAACCAGAGTCTTCATCAGCCTGAGACCAGAAGAACTAGATGGTGCCCGGCTACAACTAATGACCTCCCTGACAGGGAATACAACAGAGTCCCCGATGGAGCAGGAGAAAGGTCGGATGCAGAACTCAAATTCTAGTAAAAAAGACCAGACTTAATGGTCTGAGACTTGAGGGACCCCAGAAAGCATGGCCCCCAGACTCTCTGTCAACTTAGAACTAAAACCATTCCCGAGGCCAACTCTTCAGATAAAGATTAGACTGGACTATGGGACATAAAATGATACCTGTAAAGAGTGTGCCTCTTAGCTCAAGTAGATACATGAGACTAAATGGGCAGCTCCTGTCCGAAGGTGAGATGAGAAGGCAGAGAGGGTCAGGAGCCGGTTGAATGGACACGGGAAATCCGGTGTGGAATGAAGGAGTGTGCTGTCACAGTATAGGGAGAGCAACTAGGGTCCCATAGCAATGCGTATATAAATTTTTTGTATGAGAAACTGACTTGAATTGTAAACTTTCACT